TGCTACACTGGTCGTTTTTTTTTTTTGCTGTATTTGTTGTGGCGTGTGGGAATATTATCGCTAAATCATCTGCGAAGTCCAAGCATTGTATAGTAGTAGTATGCTGAAACAGAATTAAAACCTATTCACAATTTCAATATCTAACATATACACGAGTTTTTATCACAAAAAAAGGATTGGTATTTCGTCAATAATTGTTCAGTTAATGTATATTCCTCTCTCTCTGTCTTTAGTAACCATCCAATTACATCGAAATTTATCAAAATAAGTTAGAATTTCTTATCTATCTATATATCTTAATAATAAGATTTTTAAAAAAAGATATATACGTATACCTTTAGGCCATAGAAAGTTAATCCTTATCAGCTATAATATATATGGTGCTTTGGTTAAAACAAATTAGAATATATGTATTACAGGGATAGAATGTAAAGTTTTGGATTTTCGAATTAAAGTAGTTAATCAATGTGGAAGAAGTGATTGGTAATGAATGACGCATTATTAAATATGAATATATTGGACATTTTTTTTTGCAAATACAACCCTTAAAAACCAATCGACTTGTTGATCAGCGTTGAAGAGAGGTGTGCAGTTGGATGATACTTTGTATTTGCTAACTCATCAGTAGTTTATATCGACGTTATATTGTGTTGGGTGCAATAGGCCACTTAACCAGAAGAAATTATTCTTCCTGGTTATCGTTTTGTTTTAGCGAGTTGGATTTCTACGTGATAGGGGTCACTCACCCCACGCTCCTGCCCTCCTCCGTTATTCGAGCAAGGGACTAGCTGTTAACCCCGGAACAAGGCGCAGGCGTAGTTACGATAATAGTTATCTCAAAATAAAACAAAATTAGGACCTCCTACTATTTAATCCAGGCCTGAAATATTTTAACCTTCAACTTTAATCTTTAAAATAATTTCGTCTTAAACAGTTTGATTTTTTTTGTGAAGATCTCTATCTGTTATATAGTTTCAGTGATTGAAGTTTTTGAATGATTTCAACATTTTGTCTAGTAACTTGTTTTTGACTTTTTCACTATGACAATTCAAATCACAATTATCACATAATATAGTAAAACGTTTAACAATCAAAATTAAATCTACACTAAGTGTTTATCGAATCCTGAAAGTAGGATGATATGAGTCAAATGCGATGTGAATTATGTGAAATGTGGAACAACACATATGGGAGAACACTATGATTGTTTTCGATTAGATCGTCATCAGCTTTACTCTAATATACATGAATATTTATCATGAAAAATGTTAAACCAATCAAGGCAATGTAAGAGTCAATAATCACAATTAAATGAAATAGATTACGTCACTACACACATATTAGGCAAAAAGTACAAGTTGTAGTAGGAAGATAAGTGTGAATAAGAAGGAATGTGTAACTTTACGTTATTCATAGTTGATATTTGGGACAATCAATGTTTGTTTCTTCTAAAATGTCAAAATCAAAAATATGAACTGAGAATGTCTCTTAATAGCCCGTCATTTGACTCCAATTTTGGTCGAATAACTGAAGATGCTATGAAATAAATCTTCCGTTTAATTTTCATATATCATGCTTTAAGTGAAACCCGCTTTTGTGTGTGTGTGACGGGCAGTGATAGTAAGAAGCTTAAATACAGATTCAGTTGGATGAGTTTATTTCATCCAATCTTTCATGCAGGCCGATATGAGAATACAAAGCATACAAGCAAAACAAAGTGAAGTGGAAGAAAGTGAGTGTGCTAACTCTAGGCACTGATAGCCGAGATGTATCCATACAGGCGCTCAAGCAAGAACAACCAAGATCATAAGCAAATAATTGACAAGAACATGTGAATAACTCCGGAAGAATGAGTTAATTAATTTGTTCGAAGGCTTTTGGCAAGATTTGTGGGGCTCGATATTTAAATAAACACTACAATTTGTTTAAAACGTCAATGTTTATGTTAAATACGAACCATCAAATGTATATATTTCTGATGTCAAACATTCAAATTAATTCTTGTGAGGAAAAAGGCTGCACGTGATGTAAAACAGGATGAATGCAGATAAACTCCAATCATTTTTCTAATGAAGAATGGTCAAGGGGTGGGTAGTTAAATACCATCTTCTCTTTGTTAAACTGTACTGATTACCCCATATAAGTGACGTTTTCTGTGTCAAGCTTTGAACTGTAACTGAAGTATTTCCATTACATGAAAGCCGGTCGTACGTTGTCCTGTTTCTAAAGCACGCAACTCGTTTGTCAATCTATTCTCAGGTGTGTTTTTTTTCGATCAAACAACGGTTTGTGAAAATGCTTAGAGTTCCATTAACCTCGCATTCAAAAATCTAAATTGGTTTTTTGCACATAAATTGCCTTACAGTCATAACAACTTCCCTCATAGAAAAATGTCCTGCTTTCCTCCTTATGAAAGTCTATCCTTCGATGTCACTAACACCAATCTTATGTCATCACTGGCACAAAAACCAACTCCAATACTCAGCGTAATATGTTGTTTGATCTTCCTCTTCTCCTCTAACCATCAGAATTCCAAATGAGTGCTTGCCTTGCGACGCAGCTGAAAGATTTCTGCATTGTGTTTCCTATTCACTTCCAACGATTCTTCCTAATTTCTTCCTCTACTGGAATCTAGTTTGTTCTCTCCCACAAAAAATTCCTGAAAACAATCCTTAAATATTATAGAGTTCGTTTGAAATTCAACAGTTATTTACCATTGATATTCCACTGTCTATTACGAATCGAACTGATCGCAAAACATAAAACGTTCAATAAACTTCGTAATCTGGATGGATCAGCGCATGCTCTTAAAATGTTCTAACCTGTGAAGAAAATGATCGTAACTAGTAATGCATAGTTTGTTTTAGTTAGGTTTCAACTGATATCAATTTCCACTCATTCAAATCATCAAACAATCATTGTTAGACCACCATTACAAACCTGAAGGGACGGCCGTTTCATCTTGGTATAAGACTAACCAGCAGTGCACATCAACCACCTCTTCTGCTCTCAAGGACTCAAACGTTGGGGACTACGGTATATCCGCGCGAACTCCCAACCTCTGAACCGCTGAGCCGGTGCATCCATAATCTTAATGTCTTACTCTGATCAATCTGTGGATTTAGCGTGACTTCATCGATTGTCTCCGGTAGTTACCTCCTATACCTGACAGAGTTTGCGTCTTCTCAATAGAACTCCGAGAATTTCCTCACGAAGCTAGTAAACTAGTGAAGGCACATTGTACGATTATTCCAACTGGATTTATGGAGACTGTCATGGATGCACAAGACCGAATGTTCTGGGTGTGGATCCTGTGAGTAGCAGGGGTAGTAGTTGCGCACCACTGATGAATTCCATACTAGGATGAAATGGCCTTCCATTGCTTTCAGATTTCTAATTGTGGTGATTGATTGACGATTTCGATGTGTAAAAACACTGATTTCCATAACTCTAATTGAAAAAAATGTTTTCCAGTTTGTCAAGTAGGGGTTTACATGACATTCTTAAAACATCAAATAACTTTTTTACAATTCGTTCACCGACTACTGAATGTAATCAGATTTTCTTATTTTCCACCTATCAAAACACGTAGGGTAAGCAGGTGTAAGCACAGTACAGTACAGTACAGTACAGTACGTTACTTACTTAAACCTGTTACCCTCAATAAATCATTAGCCGCCGACAAGTATTCCCTTAACCTACTCTCTCTTCAGTCTTCCTTTCTCAATTCTGTTCAATTTTTGTACAATCAACCAGTTGGAACATGAAGCTCACATATTTTCTATTGTTTTTTTTTCTAAAAAAAAAATATAAGCATTTCTCCTAAACAATCTGTTGTGTATTTTTTAAATTCATCAAAATTTTTTATTTATTTTTATTCAAAAAAAAAAATTTGTTTTTCCACAAAATTTTCCCTGTTCACTGTTTTTTATTTTTACCATCAGAATTGTCAGTATTTCACAGATTGGTCATAGGTTTTTTTTTACTGAACTAAATAATGTTGATGACAGTTTTAATATTGTGTATGATGCATAATGAAAAGAAAACTTATGTTGATAACTTTAAAACGAACACATATTCATTCATATTCCTTCATCCGTTTTCAGTTGCCTCTTTTATTATTATTATTATTATTATCATTATTATTATCATTACGAATCACATCATCACTAATCATGTCAGTATAAACAGATGACCTTGAAAATTGAACATCACAATCAAATAAAATAGGCGCGGGAAAATCAAATATAAAAAAATACATTTCATCACAAGATATTTATTTATTTTTGTTTATTAAACAGCTGGTAATTGTAATCAAAAAAATGATTTGTAACCAGTATATTTTTTTAAAAAAAAAATTTATAAGAATTGAATATAAAAAAAGCTTTTGTGTTTTAGATTTTTAACCTTTTTGCTGTAAAAAATGGTTTTTATTTATTTTGAATAATAATAATGTTATTTCGCGGAATTCTTTAATTTGAATTATAGGATTGTGGAGGTTGTAGAGTTATTTTTGAAATCAAGAAACTGATTAATGTCAGACAAATGTTGGAAAACTGAAAGCACGAGATGGCCGTTTTATCCTTGTGTAGGACTCATCAGCAGTGCATCTCTACAACTTCAGTTACCCGCAGGAATGGAACCCTGGATCTTCGAATTTGCTCGCTGACGCTTAACATTTAGACTACTGAGCCGGCACGCTTGAGAACGTTTCTCCGATTCTAGTGACAAGTCGTGACCAGTGTAGTTTAATCCTGTTCAGATGTAGAGCACTCCTCAGCTAAGACAGTGGATGAGGTCGTACAAGACCTTTGGACTCCAGCTTAGTGGTCCATGGGTGAATCATGCTCGAAGACCGAAGTCCATGGGTTCGACTGCTGCGAGTAGTGGGAGTCATGGATGTGCACTGCTGATGAGTCCCAAACTAGGACGAAATAGCTATCCAGTGCTTTCAGATTTCTTCTAATGGTCGATTCATCATTTCTCGGGTTCCAGAATTACTAATATATATACATATATGTATGTCTATCCTGAAATGTTAGTTTCTATCTATATAATTATACATCAATGACTCAACGACTCCCATTCTCTTTTCATTTTATCAATGGTATGATCAAACTTTTACTTTTTGTTTTATTTTGTGTTAGTTTGTTTTAATCTTCACTCATTTGAATTTGAATTTGTTTAAACTCGTTTTTTTTCCGCGGCTTTTCTTTTTCAGAGACCGCCAGCATTAATTGCATTTCCTATCATAGCAATTATCTCATTTGGATTTAGTTATTTTATTTCAAGTGTTATACTAGCTACTTTACAAGTAAGTGAGGAAAACAAAAAATTGTAAAAAATTGGTTGTTTTTAAACAAAAAGTATTTTTTTCAATTTACAATCAATCCACTTGAAACCATTGAACATAGAATGTCTGCAGTGAAAAATTGTTTATCTTTCAAAGTAATGAATGAGGTAATAATTATGAATAAATTCAATTTTGAAAAAATTATCAAGGTCAGTTTAGTGCACACTGATTGAAATAAAGATTCTCAATTTAAGTATATTTTAAACACTGACTAGAATGTTAAACAAGTTATATTAGTCAATAAGATATTTGAAAAGTGAATAAAGTCGATGAATACATTGAAAAATAATATTAAAAGAACATTTTAAATCATTGTATCACTGACCTACATTTTCATTTCTTATTTATTCATGACTTAGCTTCACCATTCATATCTGTCGCATCGATCGATATGAATACACTCCGTTTATCAAGACTAATCACTAAAATCCATCCGAATGTGTCATGCTGTTGCAGGATCTCACTTCTACATGTAAGCCAAAGAAATAAACTTCACTAAATCGAGTCACTGTGTACAGAGAAAATTTGTACAGCCTATTAATCAACCTTGGTCTTCTATTTAGATACGTTTTAAAACCTTTCTTTCCCTTTCTCTATGGAACTTCTTTACAATTTGATTTATTAGCCTTTCAACCTCCAATTCTAAACCTAGATAACCTGATTGACAATCGTATCATTTCTAGTTATTTCATGAATTTCATTGAAATTGTGCATCAGTCATTGTTAGACTAATATACAAAAAACCTGGAAGCACTGGACAGCCGTTTCGACCTAGTATGGGACTCAACCACAGTGCAGAATAATGACCCCTGCTTGAGGGAATCGTACCCAGCATGTCCCTTCTGGTGCACTGTTGGGGATGTTAGATTCCCAGAACTCATTTGGAAAAGGTCCAATTTATAATTCATTTCTGAAGTTTTGAATTTCCATATTTTCGCGCATAAGACGCTTAGTTGATCGTCGGCTTACATTTTCCACTCGAAAAATCCTTGACTGTCATTGATTGATGGATTTGTAGTGCCTCCACATATATTTCACTTCTCTCACATCTAACTTGGTTAAGCCTTTCGATTAATTTATTTAACCAAGCCATTCGCTTAGCAACAACTTGTATGTACAATTGGTATTTTTTATTATCTGGTTTGTATGAGCTAGTATGACTGAGCATTGCTTAACCCCTACGCGCATATGCATCTTATTCGCTTTAATATTAATCTCTTAAATAACACGATGACTCAGACATTTTCCTTTGTATATATACGAACATTTTTATCTTATTAATTCATTCGCACATTCGCATATTCACTCGCTAGTCTGTCTGCCCGGTCTGTCTGTGGTCTGCTGTTATTAATTGTGGTGTGCTTCAATAAACGTATACGCTACTTGGAATTCATCTTCTGATTTATTAACCGTCAGACGTCATTTGGATAAGGTAGTCTGAACGAGCTTATTACGAAACGTAAGAACACGCATTAAATCGGCACACCTCATCTGGTGAGCCCAACGTTTCCAGTAATAATTCGACGATTCCGATCACAAATCGAATATAACCAACCAGTTGGTAATTTCGAGGACAAATCGAACAGAATCACCAACTGGTAACCCCGACGTTCTCAGGATATTTACGGATACTGACAAAAAATCGACGCTTCCAGCAAAATTGCTAACCTCGACGCTCCCAGGAATAATTTGCTGATATCGACGACAGACCAAAAACTACGACCACAAATCGAACGCGTCCGCAATATCACTGACAATAACTATTTCGATACGAATTACTATTGTGGATTAAATTAACATTTGGGATTATTATCATTATCATATCGTTATTGCATGACAATTATTTCATAAACATTATTTGACATATTTTGACAATATTAACAATTACGAATTACGTCATTATACATAAAACTGTTTTACTGCTGCATTTTAGTAAGTCTGTTCCGTGTTATAAACTTTTATTAATTGTTGTTAACATTATTATCGTCCATCTAATTTCATCCCTTTATTTTTTTTAATTTATTCGCGTACTATAAATTGTACATTAACATGTCTTCAGTTAACGAAACAAGTCTGCCACAAGTGGCGTCCGTGAGGTCCCTTAATATTGCTATTCCTCCATTTAGTGTCGCCGACCCACAACTTTGGTTTATTAGACTCGAAAGTTACTTCGCAGTTAACCGTATTAGCTTACAACGCGACAAATTCGGCCATGCATGTGCATTGCTTCCGAACGAAGTAGCTGACGCGGTACGCGACGTTCTCGCCAAACCAGACTCAGAAGCTCCGTACGACGTATTGAAGGCGGCTGTGATAAAGGCTGTCTCGCTAAGCGACCAGCAGGCCTTAGACCGACTTCTCAACCAAGTCGAACTAGGTGACAGAACTCCATCACAGCTAAAAAATTATATGAGAAGCATAATCGGAGACAGGAAAATAGATAGTAGCATTTTCTATCAGCTGTGGCTCCGGCGACTCCCCCAAAATATTCAGCAGATTCTTGCATTCGGAGATGCTGATGTCGATATAGATCACATGGCAGAAATAGCCGACAGAATTTACGAAAGAACGGAAACACCGAATCCACGGGTACACCACACACCAATAAATGGTGAAATCGAAGAGTTAAAAAAAACGATTCGTATTTTACGCCAAAAGCTGACGAACCTGACGCGAAACGACAGACCACAAAGATGGTCACGAATTATTTCGAGTGACAGAAACCGATTACGCTCTAGGGAACGATCTGCTCCCACGATATGTTGGTATCACCAGACGTACGGCAGAAGAGCTCGGAAATGTAGACTGCCATGCACATTTAAAGCTAATACAATAGAGAAACGATCCCGTCGATCGTCGGTAACTGCTGCGACAACTGGCGTAGCTCCCAAAAACAGTCGTCTATTTTACGTCCAGGACAAGACAACTGGCGCCCAATTCTTAGTCGACACAGGAGCAGAAATAAGTGTTGTGCCGCCCGTTAGTAATGAACGACGAAATGTTAATACGGCGCTTACTTTGAAAGCAGCAAACAAATCCGACATAAAAACATACGGAAAGCGAAAAATAACTTTAGATTTCGGTCGAAACATTTCACTTCGATGGGAATTTGTGATAGCAGACGTATCCGTACCTATAATCGGTATTGATTTCTTAAAGAATTTCGACCTAATAGTAGATTCGCGACGAAACCAGATTTTGAGCAGAGACCGTTCATTGGTGATAAGAGGAATAATCACCGAACACGTTTCGATGAATTTAGTGGTCTCAAAAGTCCAAAGTAACGAAGAAACAGATGGATTATCAAGAGCAATGATTAACACTCTCATCCACTCTGGAATCGATTATCACAAACTAGCAGCGTTGCAAAATATGGACGCTGAGCTAAGCAGACTAAGATCATCCAATACAACTTCTTTAGTATTCCGAGAAAGTCCGTTCGGCAAAGTGAACATAATCTGTGATATTTCTACAGGCAGACCACGACCGTTTATTCCGAAGCCGTTTAGACGAAAAGTTTTCGAAACTATGCATAATATATCACATCCTGGAATTAAGGCAACGATCAGTCTGATCAGCGACCGTTTCGTATGGCCAAATATGATCAGAGATGTTCGCAACTGGACACAGGCATGTATTAAATGCCAGAAAGTTAAAGTTCATCGTCACACAAGTTCCGCAGTAGGTCCATTCCGTCACCCAGATAGCCGATTCGAGCACATACATATCGATATTGTGGGACCACTGCCAATTTCGAATGGCTTCAGTTATATTTTTACCTGCATAGACAGATTCACGCGATGGCCTGTAGCGGTGCCCATAAAAGATATTTCAGCAGAGACCATAGCTAAAACCTTAGTCGAACATTGGATCTCATACTATGGAGTCCCTGCTCATATCACAACCGATAGAGGAGCCCAATTTGAAAGTCGCCTCTTTCAACAACTCACAGAGCTCCTCGGCATTAAACGTATACGCACAACCTCCTACCACCCGATGGCAAATGGTATGGTAGAGAGATTACATCGACAACTAAAAGCATCTCTTACAGCTGTTATTAACAACAATGACTGGGCCAACAAGCTTCCATTAGTCATGTTGAGTTTAAGATCGACGGTTAAAAGAGACATAGGATGTTGCCCTGCAGAGTTAGTTTACGGAACTACCCTACGTCTACCAGGAGAGTTGTTCATCTCAGGTAAGCTTGTTCCAACTGATATAACTAACTACGTACGTCGTCTAAAAGACCACATGAGCGATCTAAGAATAACGCTTCCGCAGGAGAATCAACATCGAGTATATATTCCGAAGCAACTAAGCGATACCTCCTATGTATTTATCAGGAGAGATTTTGTGCGACGTCCCTTACAACCAACCTACGATGGTCCATTCAAAGTTATCGACAGAACCGATAAAACTATCACCGTAGATAAAGCTGGAAAAACGGATGTAGTTAGCATCGACAGAGTCAAACCAGCTTTCGTCGAAGGCGAAGAACAGCCAATAAACGCAAACCCATCGAAAGCCATTGAATCACCGAAATGCGAGCTTAAACCCTCTGAAGCAGCAACACAGAAAACAGAAGGAAACCCACCAACGACCAGATATGGACGAAGAGTCAGGTGGCCGCAAAGATATATAGCTACATTTTTGAACTGATAATTCTTCTCACCATTTCGAACACATTTTTTTTTTGCTTCGCATCTGTACGTCGAAAATTTTAATTTATCTATTATTGCCTTCGATACATTTAGTGTATTTCGAAATTGAGATGTTAGCCTTAAAACATTACTATGCTTTTGTTTGATCTTCTATTCCTTCGCGACCTCACGAACGTATGCGAATAGAGTAACTTTAACTTCCGAAACTTTTAATGTTTTCCGACAATTTTGATTTTTTTTTCTCGCAAACAAAGACATTTTCGTAACCTTGTTTGCTGGAAGGGGGCTATTGTAGTGCCTCCACATATATTTCACTTCTCTCACATCTAACTTGGTTAAGCCTTTCGATTAATTTATTTAACCAAGCCATTCGCTTAGCAACAACTTGTATGTACAATTGGTATTTTTTATTATCTGGTTTGTATGAGCTAGTATGACTGAGCATTGCTTAACGCCTACGCATATATGCATCCTATTCGCTTTAATATTAATCTCTTAAATAACACGATGACTTCGACATTTTCCTTTGTATATATACGAACATTTTTATCTTATTAATTCATTCGCACATTCGCATATTCACTCGCTAGTCTGTCTGCCCGGTCTGTCTGTGGTCTGCTGTTATTAATTGTGGTGTGCTTCAATAAACGTATACGCTACTTGGAATTCATCTTCTGATTTATTAACCGTCAGACGTCATTTGGATAAGGTAGTCTGAACGAGCTTATTACGAAACGTAAGAACACGCATTAAGCCGGCACACTACAGATTATTTTAGTAGGGTATTTTGTGGCTTTTCCAAGGGTGTCGCTATCATTGTATAAATAAGCCTGGGTTGTGTGCTTGTCAACCTCGCATTTTTCTGTATGCTTGTAGAATACATTCCCTACCCCTCATCAGGACTTCTTGATCTAGTTAGCAGGGCCGAGAACAAACGGAGTCATTGCTCTTCGTTCCGATTACCGAGTAAGGTGAACTAGTAATACCATTCAAGCATTTGGTGCACGTATGCTTAACTTCTGGACTATTGAACCGACAGCTAACGCTGTTAATGTCTGAAGGTATTTCATAACCTCAGTCAATATCTTCGGTTGGTAACTGCTTAAACACGACTGGAATGAATAACAAAATACTCATATTTTCAACTAATTTCAATTATTATTCCTACGGTTATGTGTAACTATTCATTGTAATTAACTGAACTTATAGGTTCAATTTAGTTTTAATTTTATTCTGACAAATCTCATGCAACTCACTGACTAACTTGTTCTCAAATGTTCTCAGCATCATCTAGCTGGTATATAGAAAGTACACTTCTTGACAAACTACCTAATCGGTTAGTTTACAAATCCACGCTAAATTTTTTCACAAAATTAAAACTCTTTTCAATCTTTGTTGGATGACATTTACATGCACTACTGTGTATATTAACTCAATAAAATCATTACTGTCACAAGTAATTTAAGATAGATGAATTGTTGAAGGATATTAACAACGAGATAATTAAAAAAACACTTTCAAAACAAAAATTATTTGCAGTTATATCTTCTGAGCAAGTTAATAGTTTGTTCTATGTGCTCACCAACTCAACAAGTGATAGATACATTAGCAGTTGGTCCTGAGCCCGAATATCGACTTGACCATCAACTCTAGAAGACGTCGGTATATTCAGAAGACAAATATAAGAAATCTAGGTGTTTTAGTTTTCCGAGTTTAACTATAACTGACAGGCAGATAAAACGCAGAACTTTGTACGTAAGTACCAGTTCACGTTGCCATACCACATCAGCACAGAGACGTAACTGTCAGTTCAAATTCAAGAGTGATAGCGATAGTAGAAGTATTAGCAGTAATGGAGAAGATTAGGTAGCGAAGATATGATTCGAGAAGTATAATTCAGTGAGATAAATTTAGGAGGAGAAAGAGAGAGATTATGAGGAGTCAAGAAGGTTAGAATTAGAGAGAACACAGAGAGTGGATGCACCTACGCCATTGCAAGCGATTCTGAGCCATGTCGTTTAAGATCTCTAACGACTGGTGACTTTCCCGCAGACCCCAACCACGTAGCCTGACGATAGCATTGGTTACTCGATCGTCCCAGTATACACGAGCAGTGCTTTGGAGACACCGATGATCGAAGACTAGTAACCTACGAATGTCCTCTACTCTTTACGGCCATGTTTCACATCCGTGTAGTAGGACTGAGTGAAATGCTGTGCAGTACAATCGTCCTTTGGTTAGCAAGCGTACAATACGCCTGCGCCATTGTTGACGCAGGTTGGCAAAAGCCAATCGAGCCTTCTGTATCCTAGCTGAGATTTCGTCAGTCACCAGGTGATCAGCACTGATGAGACTCCCCAGATAAGTGAAGCGGTCAACACGTTCGACTACTTCACTCCCTATCACTAGTTCCGGTGAAGTCGCAAGCCAATCCTGAAGCAGCATTTTGCATTTGGAGGGGGGAAACCACATCCCGAACATGCTTGCATTGTTGCTTATGGTAGTCAGAAGACTCTGCATTTTTTCGGCTCCTTCACCGAATAGAACTATGTCATCGGCATATTCTAATTCAATAAGCGATTTTCTTGGCAGAAATTCGACTCCTGAAAAGTCGGACGAAGATAATGTTATATCTAACAGCATGTCCATGACAAAATTAAACGAGAATAGAGAAAGTGGACACCCTTGACGGACACCACTTGAAGTAAAGAATTCCAGTGACAGTTCGCCATAAGCCCTCACTCGACCAGTGGTGTTCGAGTAAAGGGCTTGTATAAGGTTAATGTACTTCTTTGGTACACCTTTCAATGACAGACACTGTCACAGAACCTCACGATCCACAGAGTCGAATGCCGCTTAGGGGTCCAGGAAGACAACAACTATTAACTTTAATCCGTCTTACTGTGCTTGATTACGTTTTTTTCTCTTCCCTTAATACGTATTCCACAATGTTTTCTTATTTGTTCTACAGCATATTCTATCTACAATAGTAATTTGTTATTGTTTACAAGAATGTAAATTTGCTGAAGATGAACTATTTGGTCGAGAGTCAAGTTTTATATTTCGACATGAAAATTTCAAGGTAAAATTATTCCTTATCTGTTTACTTAAATTATTCTATTTGTAATTATGTTTCGTTTTAAAGATTACATAGAAAATGTCCAATCAGTTAGTCAGCTGCGATGCAGAACTTGGTTGGTACATACATCAGTTCAAGTTGCCATAACACATTAGCACAGAGGGATCGATTTGTCAATCCAGATTCCATAGTAGTAGAGGTAGCTGAAGTATTAGCGGTAGTCAAAAAAGATTAGCGATCAAAGATATGCTTCGTGAAGTATAACCCAGTAAAATAAATTTAAAAAGAGAAAAAACTGGTCATGAGGAATTCAGAAGACTAGAATTCAAGGGAAGACAAAGAATCGATGCACTCGCGCCATTGCAAACGACTTTGAACCGTGTCATTCAAACTCTCTAACCACCTGTTACGATTGTCTCGTTCACCTCAACTAGGCGATCCACACCTAATAATATGGCTCAGTTCAAATATCAGTAACATGATGGACTAGTGTTATGTTTTGGTTTGGTTTCTGCTAACTGTTTTCCAGACTACTCCTATTACCTACACAGGATCGGTCGTCGAGGTAGTTAATGGTTAGGCATACGTAACACATTTCCCTACCACCTAAACTGATGAAGATATGTAATAATGTTAGAATTTACTTGCATAATGGACACTACTAGTGGTCCGCAGTTATTCAAAGAATAGACAATCACATGAGAATAGCTATTACAGGTGATCATTTCTATTAGTTTACTCTATTGGGACGTCAAAAGATTAGATTTAGTGTCTTTCATTCTTAACCTACACACCTAGCTGGAGGCTAAGATCACTAGTAGCATCACATCTGTGTGCGTGTGTGTGTTTAGTACTCCTGAAGAAATCAAAACTCGTTCGACTGCATTCATCTATCACAATTAACCAACATATTTCCTAGTGTTTTTTCTCTTTTTTTCAACTCTAATCTACACAATCAGTAATCTGTTCCTACATTTTCAGTTTGTACTAAACCTACTCCGGTAAAACCATAGATAATTCTCATCGAGACTTCAGATGTCTAATCCCACAGCTTTTTGATTAAATTCTTTCTAACCATCAAGAATTTTTTTCCTCAGCTAATCATTATTAAAAAATTATTCATCACAGTATATGGTTTTATGTGTTACTGAAATTAAATATCAAGTTGTTCTTTTCAACAAAATCAAAATAATACCGTTGGATGCCTACTCATTGGTCCAGAAGTTAGGCATTTGCGCGCAAGACCGCAGGTCCTGGGTTCGATTCTTGTGTCTATGCGCACTGCAGTTGATGAGTTCGCCATACCAGAACGAAACGACCGTCTGTTAGTACTCCGACGTTTCTTCTAATGATGGTCTAACGATGATTCATTCATGATTTCAGTAATAACCAACAATCTCCATAACTCTATTATGATGATTTTATGCCAAAATGTGTGGGAAATACTTTCAGATTTCTATCAGATAAACATTTTGGATGAATATGAGAAATTTAGCTGTTTAATTATTTATGATTTTTTTCTCTCTTGAAGCAAGATTAGTCATTTTATACACCAAAGGTTTAAAAATTACAAAATATTTTATTAAACTGCAATAATTTCATTCGGAATACTAAACGTACGAATAGAAACAAGCTACACTTGTTGTTGAGTGAGTTAAGTTAGGTCGACAGGATACATTAGACTTTGTTTTATGTTTATGAGTACTTATCAATAAGACCTAACTTCAATCATTAGGGATTTGATGCTCCAATCAACACCAACCTGTTTCAAATTTCGAGGCATCACCACACAGATGTTTGAACTGCGTCTAGCCTTCTGTGATCAGTTGTCGAATATTAATCGATTTTGTATTCGTTGGGTCTTTTTAACGGCAATCGAATCCTATCGCTACCCAAATAATTCATCGGTAACGTCTCAGTTTCCGAAGCAGGTGCAGACAGGATCAAATCCTCCAGAGATAATCATTTCTCTCAAGACTACGGGTAGATCAAGTTGACAAGTACCAACCAGCACATGACCTAGGGTACATCGTTTTCCATCACCTACCTTCGATTACGTAACATTTTAATATGATGCACGTGAAATCAGTCAGTCAGTCAGTTGCAACGTAGAACTTCGTACGTAAGTACATCAGTTCATGTCGCCATACCACATCAGCACAGAGATATAATTGTCAATTCAAATCCAACAGTAGAAGAGGTAGTAAAGGTACTAGAAGTAATCGGAGAGGTTAGAATTAGAAGATATTATTCACGAAGTATGATTCAATGAGATAAGTTTAGAAAGTAAAAACTAGAGATGTTGAAGAATCCAGAAGATTAGGATTTGAGAGAACACAAAGAATAAATGCACCTGCGCCATTGCGAACGATTTTGAGCCATGTCATTCAAGGTCTCTAGCCATCGGTTATTATCATCTCGCGGACCCCAACCAGGTAGTCGACAATTACCGACATGGCTAAGTCCACTCGTCAATGACTTCATGGATTTCTGCCATGTTTTGGTTTGGCCGCCCCTAGCTTTCTTCTAACCTATTCCTACACTACAAAACAAAGCTCGACGAGGCAGTCGGTGGTTCGGCATACGCAACACATGTCCCAACCACCTCAACTGATGATGTGTCACTACTGCGTCTATTGATCTGCCATTCTTACCTAGTACCCGTTTCCTAATAACAGCGTTGCTCACTCGGTTGTCCCACGATATACGAGCAATGCTCCCTAAGAGGCTTTCTTACGGTGTCTTTCCTACGCCCAGTAAGCTTCAAACAAATACGCGCTCGCACTAGGGCATGATCTGAATCTAGACATGTGCTCCAGAACGAGCGACAGTCCTCTATCGAACCCCTCCATCGGTGGCTGATGGCGATGTGATCTAGTTGAGTCCAACGTTGAAACGACTTTGGAGGTCGCCAGGTCAACAGATGCTTTTCCTTGTGCCTAAAGTTAGTGTTTGCTAAGAATAGGCGGTTGTCTGAGCGTGCTTGCAACAGACGGTCACCATTGTCTGTTCTCTGAGCCGCGACACCATAACATCCACCTAGGTGTCTCTCCTGCTCACTTAGTCTACCTACTTGAGCATTAAAGTCACCAGCCATTATTACTATATCAGAGCGCCTAGCTTTTTGGAGGAGGTCCGAGAGCTTTCTGTAAAACTCATCCTTAACCTCGTCTGAACTGCATTCAGTGGGGGCATAGGTAGATACGATGAAGAGGCAACGGCGATTGTCCCTATCTTTCCGAGTCCTTACTGTCCCGTTTAGTCGGACAGCGCACAATCGACTATCTATTGGGATCCAGTCAAGGAGAGATTGTTCTGCCCTACGACTCAATGCTATGCCTACGCCAGCAAGACCCCGGGAAGCAGCATCAGGGCTACCGGATACACGAAGAGTAGATCGAGCTGCTTCTTTATTTTGACATGTTGTGGTCAAGTGTATGACGTGACTCGGATCCTGTATGCGCGTTTCCGAGACGTAGCATAAATCGATGGCACGAGATTCTAAAGTCCTAGCTAAGGAAGCCTGTTGCCCTATTTGACACAATGTCCGTACATTAAATGCTCCAACATGTAGTCTAGAGCGAGGTTTAAGGAGACCAGGAACGACGTTTCGCGAACTCGTATCGTCTGCATTAGCTGTGCATTGTGATGAATGAATGTGAGAAGAGTTAGTCGTGGAGATAAGAGAGGTACTAGGGGGTGTAGGAAGGATTTGATTTTGACCAATTCGGTCTCGCGTGCTGTTACGGGTATGAGGGCGGTTGTCACTTCCCGGCTGCCCACACCGTGGAAGGTTGTTTCTTGAGGAACCTGAAAAGGAAGATAGATTAGTGTTGGTGCGTGACCGCAGAGCCCAACGGACAACTGCTTGAGGCCGGTCACGCACGGCCTTTTGATGAAATGTTTTTTGAGGATTAGCTCCGTTCTTAAAGGCCCTTAGTGGGCACCCTTACCCAAGGAGACGGAAATCCGTGAGGTAGGGGAGGTGTGACATTTTTAGGGCCGACCTTTTCTAACCCTTCCTTCCTTGTGAGAAGGCAGCATCGCTGCAGATGCTGGTTGTCCGAGGGAAACACCTTACTGCTGTCACACCCCTCTGCAGTCAGCAGTACGACTTCGCCCTCAGACCTTGGGTAGCTGCTTTTAGTCTCATCGTTCTCCAATCGATCTGTCTGGCATGGTAGAACCTTGAGGAACATATGTTCCAGCCAGTATAGCTCGGTTGGGTCATCACGATAGGCAAGCCCGACCACCACGTCAAGGTAGCAGCTACGGTCGGGGATGCACGTGAAATACAGTCACTTAGACAAGTCAACACACTACAAAATATATTCATCTACTCAAGGTAAGGGTACTGTGCATACTTTATATAGTCAGCTTTCGTGACATAATTTCGTCAGTTCGACGAACTACTAAAACACCTTGAAGTGCGAGATATGTGTCTTTAATTTCTTAGTATTGCACATTTGGACCAGGTCTCTATTGTAGTGCAGTCTCGTTCTCTGAGCTGGATGTTTTAGTTGTGGAGCTTTCAATGTTTCTCTGAACAACATCATCAGCACAAACGTCAAACAAAAGTCTCTACGTCAATCAACTGACATGATGTTACGCTAGTCTCTAGGTATGCTTAAAACTATTACGCGTTCACCTTAGTCGATTAAAGAGAACAAAGCAATGAACCAGGGTCCAGGTAGGCTACTCTGATCCCTTGACCAAATTATATCAGCAAGAAGTCTTGATATAGTGTAGACAGTGTATTCTACAAACACCCAGCCAGCACATATATAGCATTTATTTATACACTCTAGAGTTGTCCTTGGGGGGGAAATTCACAAAATAACACACTAAAATAACACAGTAACCAATCACAGCCAAGGATTCTTCTGGTGGGAAATGTGATCTCAATATCAACTGATCAGCTCATTAAATAAATCCGAAATAAAGATATTTATCAAGCAAGTTCTGGGCATCTAACATCCAAAACACATGATTAACTCAACAGTGTATACCCACAACTATAAATAAAATCAATATTCATTCAGATTAGTAAATATAAATCCAACCGGCTCAGATTTCCACATCAGTCATTACGCAAAAAAAATATACTTGGATCAGCATTCTGTTCTCTTGCTTTTGTAAATACTAAAAAAAATCAATGGCATATTCATTCGATACTATTGTGGTGCGCGCTACTTATAAGTAGTATATGACGCGAGTGTAAACGTAATGTCTGGCAGCAGAAGATGGGGGAAGATCAAGAAAGGAAGAGTGAGAACACAATGGAATTTGTATGAAACGCATGAATAGTGTGAAATGTAAGACAATGGATTGATGATGGATTGAAGATTTGCAAATTAACCATTTACGATATGGTTTTCCTATTTTACAGAGTAACACTGTAATTTTTGTTAAATACAATTTGGTTGCCCTCACCTGTGTTCTCCGTCACTACACTATCATTTAACAATAATAAATGCACATTGTGTTCTATAGAAAGCTTTTTTTTTAATCTGATTGTTATTGATTGTCAACTTTCTTTTTCCTCTGTATTCATCCTATTTATATTAGTGTCATTTGGTGAAATTATTAAACACCACAAATACAAAACCTAATAGTAGTACACTGCGTAATGGATGTGTACCAGATAAATTTCACAATCAATCATCATCTGGTTCTTTTCAAAACTATCGTAATCTTGATATACAATGGATAGAGAATACTGATGGGGATGTGATTAGTGTTAAAGGATTTTCATTGAATCCTCCTCCTCCTCCTCCTACACTTACAAAGAAAACAATCAGTTGTATACGATCATAATCATAAAACTAAAGAGTACTTGTTTTGTGTTCAATGTAAAGTTTACAGACAACTACTCGCTGCCATTCATACAATGGATACTGCGCAACATTACGTAATGAGAGCTTTTAATTTGTACTGATGATAGAACAGAAATGCTTTGTACAGTGTCATGTTTAGTTTCCTTCCTTCATTCTTTTTCCACATTACTACAAAAAACAACTATTGTTAATATTATTATTATGATAATGATTGTTTACATTCGCACATTTTCAAATGTTGCGCTTTAAAATTGACAATTGAATTCACGCAGCCGCCGCCACCGCCAAATACGAAACATTCTCCATGTTTTTTTTAAATATTTTTGTTTTGTTGATAAATTTATTGATTTATTGTTTCATTTTGAAATGTGTAAATAGATTGAAAGTTTTCTCTTTTTGTTTTAATGATATATGATGCATGTTGCATGTTTGCGTAACATTTAAATTTTTTGTGTTTTAATTTGTGTAAATTTTTATAACACATGATTTGGTCTAATAATAATAATAATAATGCATTTTAATAAATTCTCATTTCAATTTATTTGAATTTATTTTTAAAAAAAAATAAGCTCTCCTAAAGAAGAAAACAATTTAAGAAGAAACAGGGTTAATAACATTGATTTATGATAATTATCTGTTTTTAATTGATTGAACTGATCTAATTAATTTATTATTGTCTCAGTTTTATTGTAGGGGCTTTCAAATATTTACTTGCTTATTTACGCCTGTTACTCACAACGGAGCGTAGACTGCCGACCAGCATTCTTCAACCTACTCTGTCCTTAACTTTCATTCACAGTTTTTATCAATTGCTTTTCATTCTTTTGATGTCTGCTTCCTTTTCAATTTGAGGGTTCCGAGTGAGAGCCTGTCTTGTGACGTAGTCGGGTGCTTTCTCCAACCTGTGTCTCATTCACTTCCGGCACTTCTTCCTGATTTCTTCTTACGCTGAAATCTGGTTTGTTTTCTTCCACAGTAAATTGTTGCTAATAGTGTCTGGTCAGCAGATCCGAGGTATTCTGAATAGACTGTGTTTAATAAACAGCTTGCATCTTGCCAATAATGGCCTTGTTAGTTCTCCAGGTTTCCGCTTCATACAGTTGAACTGTCTTGACATTTGTATTGAAAATGATGACTTTGGTGTTTCTCTATAGATTTCTTGAGTTAAGGGTGTTCTTAGATTGTGAATCTGTGTTTTTACATCAGCATCAAATCCACCTTGTTCATCAATGATGCTATCCAGGTCTGTAAAGCTTTCTACAACTTCCAGAGCTTCTCTATCAAGTGTGATTTAGTTGGTACATGTGGTGTTCCGGTTTTCCTTTGGCCTTGCTACGCAGTAGGGTACTTTCCGTAATGTGTATCCAATCCACCTCCATCTTTTTTCAAATTTATTCTTCAGTTGGAATCTAGTCTGTCCTCTTCCACAGTTTAATGATTCGAAAATTTACTTCTTATTAAAAAATTTAAAAAATGCTTTTTTTCTAGAACGGTGCCTAACTTCCTGAATGGCTTTTTGAAAAATCAATAGGCTCAAAGATAACTAAATGGCCAGAAAAACGAAATAACATGCAAGCACTATGAAATGTGATATAGTTAATTTGAGCAAAATGACAACGTATACCTTTACTATCAAGATTCGTTTGATATCCATCCACATTGTGTTAAGCGCCGATTTAAATCAAGCTATCAATCACAACCTACAAAGTTTCTCATTTCGTTTTATCGTTATAAAATGTATTGATCAAGCTCAAAGTGTTCAGAGTATTTACTGAAATCGATGAAGCAAACTATCAATTGTAACGTTCACAGACAATCAATCAGTTTGTTAAAACTCAACAAAATGTTGCAGAATATTTTACTCAATTGGTTAAATGTTGAAATTCAACTTGCCTACTTACTTAACAAAAAATGTTATATATTTTGTACAAAGATTAAGAATAAGTGCGTGTGATGAAGAGAAATGTCAATCTTTGTTAAATAATACTTTATAAAATTGGATTGTTGTATCTATTCAGCAAAGTTCCATTTTAGAGTGACACAACTTAATTACGTTGTCAGAGTAAGGAACTACGGAATATTCTGAATAGTGAATCTTTGAATCCGAATCAAACGGACAGTCAGTTTAATCTATGAACATAGGTCTGTCGAACATGAATAAAAATAAAATTACTAACCATACATACCTTAATAGATGCAAGAACTTAGTGTGTTTGAAATTAAGAAGGCGAGAAATCAGTGTAAGAGAGATTACTCCTTCAAAATAAATTTATGAAGTAATCAAGATGAATCCAAATTTTTACAACATTTTTATTATCTACTGGTCTTCCGCTTTTCATTTGAGCTTGAGGGTTCCAAGTGAGGGCTTGTCTTTTGACACAGTTTGGTGACTTCCTCAAAGTGTGTCCTACCCACTTCCAAAACCTCTTCTTGATTTCGTCTTCAGATGGATGAAATCTGGTTTGTTCTGTCCGACAGTAGGTTGTTGTTGATGATGTCTGGAAAATGAACGGTATGAATGAATAATGTTATTGCTGCATAATTTCATACTTTACAATTTCAACTTAACACAAACGGTAACTAAAGAAATGAAAAGACACACGAGATGAAAATGAAACTCTTTTATTGAGTCGCATATATATAAAGCAAGCCCGAAGAAAGCCCTTAAATCTTGGATATCATTAATTCTGTTTTTACATAGATTCCTTGCACATTGACCCCTTTTTGCAACCGACAATGCTACAGATATTGCACATTACTTCAGAATCGAATGGTTTTACTTCTAGTATATCAAGTTATAATAACGCAACAGATAAGTTTGAACTGGACAGAATTTATAAATAATTAAGCCATAGCGTTCTAAAATAGAGTTGCTTGCATGTTTTCCACTAATATATGATGATGAGGCTCTGTCATACCTTAAGCTACACTGTTTAAAGCCATGGTTCTCGGTAATCTTGAAGATGTTATTAAGTGGGTATAACGTGATTATCGATAATCTAACCGATAACAAACATCATGCATATATGACTGAAGCAACTGATACTGAAAGCCATTAACCGTTTTACACGCCATACTTCCTCTTTAAACTTATTACTCATCAATGCGCGTTCACTTCTAAATAAAATTTTGGCCTTTAGAACTAACTAAACTTATCTCTATACTTGTCACTGAAATATGGCAATCTCCGTCAGTGTCTCACTCAGAATGAAATATTCTGAACTAGTAGACAGCCAGTAATCAAGAAACAGAAAGTGGAACTGGCTGTCTTATATATACCATAATAACAGACAAAATTGAAAAGAGTATCTTGAATAGTTCTCCGAAATCGGTAGGGATATTAGTCAAAACTCCGAATTATAGTTTTTTTCCTGGGATGTATCTGCAGAACGTCTAACACTCGGACTACTGTTAATAGTTTTATCATTAAAGCTTTTGTACATGCATTCGGTCAAAATTTAGATGCGAAGATTATGACAGGAGATTTTGATTACCTTGCGTTGGGGATGTTAGATCCCCATAACTCGTTTGATAAATATCTTTATTTCAGATTTATTTCATGGACCGATCAGTTGACCTTGATATCACATTTCAAACCAGGAGAATCCTTGGCTGTGGTTGAATACTGTGTTATTTTAGTGTGCAATTTTGTAACTGTCTCAAAGACGTCTCTATGGTGTATAAGTAAATGCGATTTGTGTGCTTGCATTCATTGTGTGTTGGCTGGATGTTTGTAGAATACACTTTCTACGCTATATCAAGACTTCTTGCTAGTACATTGGGGTCAAGGAATCAGAGTAGCCTACCTGAACGCTGGTTCATTGTTTTCTTCTCTTTATTCGACTAAGGTGAACTCGTAGCAGTTTAAGCATACCTAGGGTCGAGCGTAGCACCTTGAATTTAACTGTAATACTGTTTATGGTCAGTCAGGTGATGATGAACACCTAGCTGTCCTTTGTATGTTCATTCCACAAAGAAAACTGATCGAAATAAGGCATATTAACATGCTAACTGGGATCTCTTGCATACCCTACTAAGATCCTCTCTCATGGGATACCTTATTCCCAGTTATTGGTTCGTCGATGCCATTGACACAATTTTTTTAGATCATTGACTCATGTTTAGATTTCTATACATCTCTTAAAAAAATATCGAACTAGTTTACCGAACGAATTATTTACACCGATTAAATATCGTAATAAATTAGGACGCCTGTAGGAACGTTACTTTAAGGCAAATGATTTTACAGTAGTTCAACAAATAACTATAATTTTAAACTAAATTAAAGGAAAACGTAGGTTCGAAACTAGCAATGAGGAGTTGGTCGCACTTATGACCAAACACAACAAAACTTAGCACTCCTTTTCAATAAACACGTTAGCGTATCTCAAAGTCCAGATATACGATTCTAAAAACATTGCAAACTTTTTCAGTGGTATTTTTGCGATTAAAAATGAGTTTTATTAGCCAAAACTAATTTCAAAAATCATTTATACAACAAGCAATTCAATAAATCCTATTTCTTACACTTATCTAGCAATCAATTAAGGTATTTACTCCCTTCAGGTCTCAAACAGTCATGGAGTAGATGGGATTCCATCCATTCTCCACCAAATCTAGTGGATCTAATGTACTAATGGCTCTTCTGAAGCTGTTTACCCTCTATTTCTCTCTCTGGCGACTGATATTTGCTCCGATTGCTGAAAATCCGCTCAGATACATTAATGATTATCGACCAATAAACAATACCCTAGTTATCTCTAGGATAATGGGAAAGATTGCTGGTGTCGAACTTTCGTACTATTTACTCCTTGTGAAACTGACCACTAATTAACAACATGGATTTCTTAAAAACCGATCACCTTTGGCATGCCAGTATGACCTTGTTAATTTCGTTTTACTTGATGTAACTGAGGACACTAGTCATAGAGCTATCCTTTAAATTTTCTAAAGCTTTCAGCCTGATTAACCAGCAGCTTCTCATAGGTAAACTCACATCTTACGAGATGAGAAACCCTCTTCTAGCTAGGTTTAATGATTTTCTCTGTCAATGATACCAAATAGTCTAAATAAATTCCTCCTTGTTAGACGCAGTTCCGATCAAAAGTAGGGTAATACAAAGTATTTTTTTTAGGTCCCTCGCTCTTTTTAGCTTACATAAGTGATAATTTCGATTACTTCTGTGCAGAAAAACCTCTTCTGTAAACACATGATCTGAAAATAGTGTATGTATTCTCCAAACATCAGCTGAACAATATGCAGAACTGCATCAGTGGGCAGATCATCCAAGTGGCCTATTGGTGTTCAGAATAGAAGTTAGAGCTGAACACTATCAAATATGGATGGATCCAGTTTCAAAAAACTCTACTCAATCTAGACATAATCATAAATGGTACTGTGTTATCAAGATTCCATACTTTAGTAGACCTAAGATTCAAGTACTCTTATAATTTGTCCTTCTGAGAACAGGTATCTAAACAGACCTCTAAAT